TCATTTGTACAGTTTCATTCATCTCTGACTATAATACTTTTCGCAGATTATTGTCTTCCCGCCGTCAATGTTCATCATCTGTTATCGCTTTCAGGAAGAACGGCTCGATTCCGTTTCATTCTGACAGGGATTTGCAGATGGACTTTTGGTCCATTAAATCTTTCATAGTTACTTCGTAATAAACATTGCTAAATATTGAGTCTCGTTCCTATATTCACCCTTGTAGAAATGATCTAAAACTCTCTTTTAGTGAACATTTAAGACTGCAAGCATCTGGTTAAATAAGATGAATTGTTCTTGCTCAATTTGTTGGATTGGACTTCGTTAACGTTTAGGCGACGAGCGGCGGTTTTTATAATTAAAATTTTTTGAGTGACAATTACCGAACCATTTGCATGCTATTGACTTTGATGAAGCATCTTCAACATAAGCGCCTCGTAGTTTCCAATGGCTTGCGAACTAATAATTGTTCATCATTCATTACTTTTGAAATGCAATTCCCGTTGCTCATATTGCTCTTCCTTTTTTTTTTTTAAATTTATTTATGTGAATTGGCAAAGTTACGCGATTCTAACGCCATTTTAAGAGCGGTAGACTTTACTTTACTTTGGTCGTCGCTATAGTGAGTGCTTAGTCGGTAAAGGCATAACACTTATCGATTGCGGTGCAGTGCCCATCACCTCCTTATCTCTTTTTTTGTCTTCTCACTTCTTTTTGACCGTCACCGCGTTACACCTACACGTACAGGGGACAATCGCCGATTGTTATATAAAAAAAAAAAAAAAAGATAAACCTAGCTTACTCTCTGATAGTTGTGCTTATAATTCGGAAACCCTGCTTTAAATCTCCTCATTATGCATATATACGTGTACATATATATTTAAAAGCAACTTGTATATATATGTATAAAATCCTGTATATATATGCTTAAAAACATTAAAAAGTTTGTCCAACTTGTATGCACTTTAAGCTTTATGCTATAGTTTTTTTAAGCGTAACGTCACGTTGTATGTAGATTTATGGTCTGTTAAGGTAAAAGTATGCCTGCAGAGCATGTGCGCCTAGAGATCGTCTTATGTTTCTCATATTTATACCAGCAATACGCACAGATAAACAAACATCTACATACGCATATATTATTGTCAATGTCAGTAAAGCTTAATATGAACTGCGTTTAAGCAAAAAAAAAAAAAAAAAAAAAAAAAAAAAATGAATGAATTTAAAAAATAAATATGAAAAAAATCCAATCAGCTTCAATTCAGTGAAACGGCAAGTGATTGGAAAAAAATTAATACAACTTTGGGTTAAAGGAAACATGTTCGTAATTGAGAGTTTCGAGGTGGAGTTAAACTCCAAGACACCGCACACAACTTGCTTTTGATATCAATTTCTGCATGTGCTTAACAATAAAACAATAAATCTGAAGTCAAGTTAATGACATCTGAAGAGGAATATTTTTTTCTTTTTTATTTCTTTTCGCTTTCTTTTGGCTCTTTTGCGAAACGTTTTTAATTATTAATTTATATAAATTTAGTAACATATTATGGAATGCCCCATATGCGCATTTCTTGTATGTAAATGAAACATGTGTTTGTGTTTATGTTGTATTTTATTGTGAGAGTTTACACTTAATGTAGCGTCACGTTTTTAGTGTTTTTTCAGACATAGCACACACACACGACACAGACAACATTTAATGCAAGTAAATAAGTTGAAAATTCGCGATTCACAAGAAGAATAAAAAAGAGACGTCTAAAAACATTTCGATTTTTAGAAAATAACGGGCAAGTGTAATGATTTCAAATTGGACATGACGTCAAATTTTATAAGGGAGGGTATTTTATGACTTATGAGAAATCGCGTCACTTTATACAAGATTTTGTGTTTTCTGTTTAATCTGAAATCTTTATTAACGTAAGTCCGTAGTCCATGAAGAATGTGTTGTCTTAGTTGGCTCTGTTGGCATTGAAGAATGAAGCAAGAAGAAGGATTTTATACCGGAAATGAAATTAAATTCGCTTTTGGCGTATGTAACATCTGCGTTGATTACTCTGAATTGAATATTCGGAGAGAATTACTGACTTGATTAAAAAATCGACCGGTGCCGTTTATTTTCTTTTTTGATTTTATAAAGTGCTTGCATGTATTTTAATCATTTGTTCGCTTGAAAAAAGCATTTATTGAGAAAAATTGGCACAATCCCCATTAATCAAAATATTTTCCATCATTTTCTAAAGCTCTTGCCATCTTTCGGGCAACATGGCAATAGCGGCGCCAAAAGAACAATATTGATTTGGCAGCGATCCAATCATCGACCCATTTTCGCACCTTCTTTAGCATTTTGAATGCCACGTGCCAGCTATTGCTGGGTGTTTTTTGCAACAATATATCGTTCTATGTAATCAAATGATCTCGGCAGACATCTGCAGTAACAGTTTCATTCGGTTTTAGCAGTTCTTAATATTGTTGATCCCACCATATGCACAGAAAAACTTTACGGATATAAATATTCTGTTTCGGTGGCGATGTGGATGGCTTCCCCCGGACTAACCAATGACTTTTGGCGTTTGGGATTATCGTAGTAAATCCACTTTTCATCCTCGGTCATAATACGCCACAGTAAACACTTATTTTTTTTACCTAAGAAGCAATGAAGCTGAGATGTTGTATGGTAGCTATTTTTCTTTCTCTTAGATCCGATCCATCGCATGTAAACGTTTAGAAACAGTTGTTTAGTCAATTCCTAAGCTGTTTGAAAATTCTTTGAGAGTTTGAGTTGGGTTTCGTCCAATAAGTCTTGGAATTCATTTTTATCCAACTTTTTTGGTCTCCTGGGCCTTTCTTTGCTACTGATATCAATATTACCACTTTTAAACCGTTGAAAGTTGAGGTAGGATGGAGCAGCATCGTCATAAGCTTCTAAAAGTATTTGTTGGGCTTCGGGAGCAAAAATGCAATTTTCATTGTTCCACGACTGGCGTCTGGACACCTTGAATACACCTCGATATTACTAAACGGCTAATTGTTATTTTATGTAGAGAAAGGTCGAAATCACCGAATTTAACCGTTGTGTACATTGATACTTCACATTATTTCATAATTTTCAGCAATAAATCTTGCTGATCAAAATGCATGCAAGCACCTATTATTATTGAGAAGTCACGATCATCTTAACATAAGCATATAAGCGGAAGCATACGGATACTAATTATTTAAAAAGATGTAAAATTGACAACGGGCTGTTTGCTATAACGCGAGTAGTACTTGAACTTTTATAAAGCGGTCACCTCCTCATAGATTATTAAAAACCCTGGCCTGGGTCATCTAACTTTCTTTGGAAAGTGCAAACTTAGCAAATCAGCCTCTGAATGTGGTCATCATCAATTTCTGAGATATTATGTATTGAGTGCGAATTGCCGCAGAAGCTTGAACTCCAATTAGTTTTCGCGTCTTAAGGAAACCATCATTGTTGTATTTTTTAATTATTATGTTTTTGTTAATTTCAAAATTAATTTTCGTACGCATGTACGAAAAATTTTATAATAACCTTCGGTTTTCTTTAATTCAACTTTAATTGACCGCAAAGCGATGCAGAACCGTTACCGAAAGTCCAACTCATTTTAACTTCAAAACGCATAATTATTCGATGTAAAATGTTTCTTATACAAACAAAAATGAGAAAGAGGATAAAATGTAAAAATTCAATTAAATTATGTTAATAATAATAGAAACTTGTTTTTCATTTTTTCTAAATATTTAAATAATAACTCCAGGTTTGCCTTCCTCGGCGATAATCCTTGAGAGAATATGCATGATTGCTATTTGTCACTTTGCAAACTAGTTTGTAAGAGAAAAAAAAAAAAAAAGAAAAAATATTCATCATCACAGTGTTTGGTGGAAAACTAGTCGCTCTTAAAAGACATGATTTGTGTATATCTTGTCAATTTTTGCGTGTGCGTGTGTGCGGTTTGCCGCAATAGCTGTCAGTATTAAAGTTTAATTTCTTAAGTAGTTTCACCATCGTTAATCAGTTTATTTTTCTTTTCGGGTATTTGTCAGTGGTGAGTGATTTATTGCAGTTATTTTTCTGCGTTTTTTTTTTATTTTTTTTACTTTCCTTCTTGTTTTTTGATTTAGGAGCATAAGCCAAAAAGTACAGGAATAAGTAAGTTATAACCGCGGGAACAACTTCGTGAAATGATCAAATAAAAATGATAGTAAATGCATAGCTGTAACACATGTTCAACCCTAATCATTAATTTTATTGTTAAAGCATTCGATCCATTGGCTGCAATGTCTGTTCGTCCGCTGTGATGATAGATAACAAACATAAAGTGAATCATGAGCATCTAGCAGCTTGAGAAAATATTTACAAAAAGGCACGTTAGTGCGCCATTGGAGCACAATTTTGTATCGAAATTTTCAATGGCTCCTTAATGCACATACGGGCGTATTTAGTTTGTAAACGCCAAGTGACTTTTGAAGTCGATCGGCGTCTTTTTTTTACTTTTAATCCACATCCAAGTTGATTACATCGAATAGACGCGAAATCTCAATAACGAAATTATAGAAATCTATGAAAAATTTTAGATTACCACTTGCTGTAGCTCGCAATTTATTTGTAGCAAGATTTTGAGATTGTCGCTAACTTTACTTGCTTTCAGGCTTTATTTGTAGGTCGAAATTAAAAGTACATGTTTTAAGCAAAATTTTACAAATCTCCAAATTTTCGATTACAGCGATTAGGTTTCAAATCTTATGCAGAAAAGGATTTAACACTTTTTGAGGATTTATTTTTCCACATACAAACAAAATGATTTCATTTTTTTTCTGAGGGCTGGATAAAACTTTAGAAGCGGTTTAAAATAGATTAATACATCATATCGTTTGGACTATTGTATGAGTTTGTCTCAAAGCTTGATTCCATTTGCAAATATTATACTTGTTTAATTCGAATCTCATAGAAATAAGTTAGATATATAATATATGTCAATACTTACATTTTCACAAGACGTTCTACATGAGCCAAACACTTCATTGCAACAAGCATAGAAATCTATAACAAATGGGGGAAAAAAATGTATTAAAAAAAACCGGCATTTATAAAAAAAAAAAAAAACAAAAAAAAATGTTTCGGTTGTTAACTGTCAACAGCTTATTAAGAAATATTAGAATACAATAATAAGAAGCATGTGTAACTCGTCATAAGCAACATCTCTGTTACAGTTTTTAAAGTGCAAGTGATAAAAACAAATCTGAATACCCCCGCTGTGGCGATATGATACAATTACCAATTATTGTACGTATATGATACATGCATGTGTGACCGTATGTGTATTTTGATATGTATAATATATGATTAAATTTTTCCTCTCGTTATAACGGGCAATGATCTTCATTTCACTACAAGCCTACTACAAGCTCTCTTGTCGCGCACATATGTCTATGCAGGCTTTTACTGTTTTACTGTTCACTACAATCTGTTGACTACATATTGCATAAATATATCTATGCTTTAAATGCATATATATATATTCATGTTCATTATATGATTAATATGTCTGTGGTACCGTTTATGCTGTTATTTATTAATGCATTTTAAAGCTCCTCCTTAATTCTGCTCAGTCGGTTGCTCGCTGAGTGTGTTCTGTTTGTCTTTAAGTTTTTTTTTTTTTGTGTATAGATTGGAATTCATGCAAATATTGTTTTACTTTATGCGTTACAAGTGTCACAAGTTATCAAGAGCAGCTAAACAAATGCCTTTACACATACATTAGTACACAAATGCATGTACATGTGGTATGTAAATTTGAACAAGGCACTCGCCTCTCTTGATAGTGAGACATTGCTTGTTTTTTTTTTTTTATTGCGCTACTATACACACGTTTATAACATTTTAAATGTGGAAAAGGGCAGTGAGGCAAAGCTTCATTGACTTGTTCGAAGGGGTTAGCAGTTAGCATTTTTTCCTCTTATTTTTATAAGCTTACAAATGATGTATTATGCGGTAAATTTCGATTCAGTTGATGATCGCGGTATATATGACTTTCTTTTACCAGAATTAACGGGCTCTGCTGTCCATTTTATATACCATATGCATGCATACATACATATGTAATTCATTATGCATCATCAAAGCAGATAATGTTAGAAACAAAGAGAGAGAACAGAAAAAAAATAGTGCGAGAGATTGAAGAATGGAGTCATCGAGTATAAATTTCTATATCAATTTACTGACGATGTATTCAAGTGCAGCTTACTACCTGTTCAGTAGTAATACATTTGCAATTTATTTATTTATGTATTTAATGTAATTAATTTATTCAATAAGAAAAAGCACTTTATAATTCACGTAAACATGTGCTGTCTTGCGGGTTTCGCACATAGAAAATTTTGAAAAAATTTTTAAAATACACAAGATATTAGTTATTTAATTAATATTTTGGTTATATGAACTTATTAGCAACGAATACAGATTACATTTAGAACTGAAAGTATCTATAAAGCCCGATCATTACAGCCTAAACGATGTTTCAATTTGTTTAAAATTTGGATTTGATTGATATCAGAACTCATCGCTGACCAGATGATAGAATATTCTGGGGATGAAAATTTTTTCAAAGAATATTTCACTTCTTCAAAATTCCTTCTGACGTATTCACGGTAATGTTACACATACGTAAAACATGGCGAGCGAACACATATATCATATGGAATACCATTTAATGTAATACAGATTAAGAGCGAATATTATGCAAAGGTTATTTTATGAAAAAAATTCGAAGGGATAAACTTATTATTTGCAAACTTTTGTTCATTCCGGGCAAACGTCGATATGCTTGCATTGTGATCTTAAGGTAGGAAGCCACTGCATAAACCATCTTTTTGACAATTTTAATTTTTTTGAAGTGAAGAAATATATGTTTAAATATGAGAAAAAAAATTCGAATATTTGAAAAATATCAGCAATGGCTACAATGGAGCCACGAATATTAATCAAGTTTGGCAACTCTGCATGCGTCTTGTGGTCGCATTTTAATTCTGTGCAAAAAATATTTCAATTTCTTAGTGTATTTCTTAGCTTTTTGGCTTTATTCGTGTCTAAATTATAAAAATTCATTTTGGTTTTGTGCAATCAACAATTAGAGCTCTTGGTAAAAGTCTCTTATTTTTTCTGTTAATCTTTGTTTACAGTTTCTTTTGCTTTCGCTCTATATTTACAACGGGAACGAAAGTGAGAAGTTTTCTTTAATTTGCTGAAAGTTTGTGCCGTGGAATCTTTTAGTTTTTTTTCTTTTTTTTTCTTCATAAGCTCCTTTTGTTGTTTTAACTGGGCATGGATTGTTCATTTACACCATGTCGTGCAAAAACAGGTTTTGAATCTGAACGATTTATCCCATGTTAGCTGTGTGATCGTTTTTGCCATGCAAAGTGTGCTGGTATTATCGGCTGTGCTGCTGACGGAATCCTTGACTCCTCAAAAGGCTTACGGTGGTCATGTCCTGACTGTAGAAAGAGGTATGTAGATTTCTACAAACTCTTCACCGACACCAGAAATTGTTTCTCAAACTTCAGCAAAAATCTGGGAAGAATTTGAAGTCATTAAGACTAGGCTTGATGAGTGTCGTTATATTGCGCACTCATATTCTTCCCCACCTAGCGAATGTGTAACTCGTAGCGTAGCGTGTGGTTCGTTACCTCTTAGTTCTGCTAAGTCCGATTCGTTGGTGCAAGTTAGCGATTCCTCAAAGTATACAACAAACGTTAGCGTTTCTGCTATTGTTGAGTCGGTCGGTAACAAAACAGTTACAAATGAGCTGGGAAGTCCTTCTGGTTTGAATTATGCTGAAGTTTAAAGGGTATCTTCTCCTCTTCTACCGTGCCCAAACTCGGCACGTCGCACAAGCTGCTCGCGCGAGTGTGGTTACCCCTTCCATATTCTCCCCAACTCAAAACTCCCCATCCGCGAACCCTGCTACTCCTAGTACAGATGACATTTGTTTGAAGGCAATTCCTCCCAGAAAGGCAATATTTTTGTCAAGACTGGCACCTAATACATCTGTGGATAACATAGAAAGTTATCTAGCGGCGAGAATCCTATCTGTCAATTTAAAGCGTGTTAGCATTTTCAAATTGACGCCTTCTCAACCTAGAGCAATTTCGTCTTTTAAAATTCTAGTTCCGACTGAAAACATGGATAGGCTGTTAAATAAACCATTGTAGCCGATGGATTCTTAATTAAGGAATTTATCTCTCGTGATCGACCTCGTAATACTAATGCACTCCTGTCCCCTTCAAAAAACTAAATATTTCTTCAGGCTCATTATCTCTCATTTATCAAAATGTTAGGGGCCCAAATTTAAAAATTCGTTCTACTTTGCTAAATTCAGTGAGCACGGAGTTTTCCTTTTTGGCCTTCACTGAAACTTGGTTAAAGCTTGATCTACATTGAATGTCCCAATGCTCCGGACGTTGAATTTATCGCCATTCAAGAGAAATTTCCTGATAAACACTTATATATCAAGCTATTTCTGCAGCCGTTCCGAGCAAGCAGTACTGTTCTCGAAGCAGGTGCCCCTTTGGTTTAATAAGACAACTAAATATTACAAGAATAGGAAAAACAAGCTTTTCAAAACATTTTCGTAAAGTTATTTTTCTTTCAACTATTAGGCTTACTCAGTGGCAAGGCATAGATTTAATTCTCTCAACCATCAATATTATTGCAGATACCTGTAGATTGTTAAATCCTCTCTGTTTGCTAATCCTAAATACTTTTTTAAGTTCGTTAATTACCAAAGGAAAATCTCCATAAATCCCTCACATGATTCTTTCAATGGCTCTGAGTGCTCGATTGATATTGAAACTGACTGCTAATTTCGATTTATCAGCGAACTATCCATTTCCGATTACTAATTTGGTTTCAATTTCTAATTTTGTCATATCTGAAAATAACGTTTTTAAAGGATTGAGCTCTCTAAACTATAATTGTGCGCCTGGACCTGACGGAATTCCATCATGTGTACTTATATCTTGTACTGGGGAGCTATGTGGTGTTATCTCAAAGATTTTTAACAAATCCTTGAATTTAGGTGCTTTATCTTTGTGTTGGAAGACTTGTTTCTTTATTCCTATTCGCAAAAGTGGAAGTAGACAATTTGCAGAGAACTACAGAGATATTGCCAAGTTGAGTGTCTTCCCTAAACTGTTCGAGCGAATTGGGACTTAGCATGAACCCTTGCCATCAAATCATATATTTCTCCTCTCCAATATGGCTTTCAAAAAGGAAGATCTACGGTCACCAATCTGTTAGAGTTTACTTCTCATGTTTTCAAGGCTTTTACTAGTTTTCTTTTCCCACTGATATCATATACATTGATTTTAACAAAGCGTTTGGTTTGGTTAACCATAAACTACTCATCTTTACACTCCAAGCCTCTGGCTTCCCTTTCTATTTATTGAAATGGTGAGGCTCTTATCTGCACAATAGATCATTCAGGGTTTTGTTTAACTTCATTATTTCGGATGAATTCCCCGTGACGTCCGGCGTATCTTAAGTCAGCCACTTAGGACACATTTTATTTAATTGATACATTAATGATTTGCCCTCGGTGATTACACCTAACGAGATCTTAATGTATGCTGATAATGTGAAAGTGTTCTTCTTTTTCTGTAGAATCGCAATTACATTAGCTTCAAGTTGACTTGAATAATTTGGCTGCGTGGTGTTTGTTAAATCCTCTGAAACTGAATCTAAATAAATGTAGAATGATTTCTTTCTCAAGAAGAAAATAATCCATTACTTAGTATTTCATTGATTCGCACAAGATTCGTCGATTCGTTCGCAGATTTAGGCGTTCTATTTGACCATAGGTTACGTTTTAACTTGCATATTGAGGTCTCGTTAAGCAAAGCTAGGTCCGCGCTTGGTTTTATAAAGAGGTGGTCCAAAGAGCTTGATGATCCTTATATTACGAAAAGGTTGTAAATGTGTTTGGTTCGACCTATACTCGACTATGCCTCTGTTATGTGGTCTAGTTCATATAGGTGCTATGTAGA